AACCGTAAAGATTTACAGCCTCAGAACTCTGTAGGGTTTCATAGGGTCCATAGGGTAGCTATGAGTCAGAACCAACTCTACAGAATACAACAACAACAACAACAACAACAACACATCCATAAGTATAGGTCAAGTTCATGAAATTGTAGCAATTTACACTTGCTTCCTTTATCAAATTTCTCTATTTTCCTCTACTTGAGTTCTGATCAAGCCATCGAAGCTAGGTCAAATGGATATATCTGTAAGTTTGGACGTTCTTGTGCATCTCCCCCTACTTCATGTCAGTTGGACACTTCATTCTCAGCTCTATCCCTCTGTTGCTAGGTGATTGTCCATGGCTCAGGAGTACCCAAATCTCCCCAAATTTCAGACCAACCTGCCCTCCCTCTTTTCTCTCTCATCTCCAGGTCAACAGGAGTCTATGGAACATGGTTGAACTCAGCCCATTTCTTCATTGCTGCCTTTCCCCCACTTCCACTCACATGTAGATCAACATGGTCGCCAGTGAGCTTACATGCCTGCTCATGTGTTCCCTCCAAGTTTCAGTCTTGGAGGGGGGTTTGTTCTGAAGCAACTTGATTGCTTGCCTTGACTTCCTGGTGAACAGTTTGCTTGTTCTTGTAATAGCCAAAAAGATTGCTGTTTTTGTTTTTTCTTGCTGATATTTCTTTCAAGAAATATCCCCTATTCTTCTAGCAGCTCTGGGCTGGTTGGCATGTCCTTTCAAATCAGAATGTCCCACCTCAGAAGATTCTGGATGGGGCTCAGGAGTCTACCTAAGGTCCAGTACACTACAAAGGCTCTACAAGAAGCCCACTTCACCAGGCAAGTTCTAGAATCTCTTTTAAGTATGCCAATCAGTTATAGGCTAAAAACAGGCTTACATGTTTTCAGTAATCATGTTTCTTGATATTCCTTTCTATCCTAGTAACATGTCTATTTTACAACAGTAGGCAAGGGAAATCAATATCCAAAAGACAGTCAGACATCATAACATGATTTCCCCTCTTTTATCCATTCAGGCTATGCCTCGATCCTAGAGTCTCATTGTTCCAAGGTTGAGCATAAATCACTATTTATCTTTGTCCCATTTGGCCCATGCAAACCTACATAAGTGTTCCCCTATCTACCTTGTTCTTCCACCCACCCCTCCGCCTTCTTGTATATTGCTCTCCCCAACACCCAAGCTACGATGTGACATCTTCTAACCAGTGCTCTACCATCCCCCTCACCCCTATTCCTTGGAACAAAATTTTTTTTCTTTTAGTAAGTTTTTACAATAGTGGTCTTATGCAATATTTGTCCTTTTGTGACTGGCTAATTTCACTCAGCATAATGACCTCAAGGTTCATTCATGTTATGCAGTGGCTTGCAACTTCCTTGTTATTCTTCAAGGTACCATAATATTCCATTGTGTGTATGTACCACAGTTTGTTTGTCCATTCTTCCATTGATGGGCACTTAGGCTGTCTTCATCTTTTTAATATTGTGAATAGTGCTGCTATGAGCATTAGTGTGCATATATCTACTTGTGTTATGGCTCGAATATCTTGTGGATATATACCAAGTAGAGGAATTGCTGGAT